TATATATAAGCCGTGCCTATATAAAGCCTGTTCATCATAGCCGGGTTCAGCGCCCGCGTGGTGGTGTGCGGCACAGATCAAGAGGGGCGACGGGTGTGCCTTCGTATACCAGCGCCGATCTGTGAAGGTGTTATCAGATGCTGACCTGGGTACAGGTAGATAGACCCGCCTGGTTAACGCGCGTATTCCCTGAGGGCATCATCGTATGCGGCGTGCTGCGCGTTACACCGACGGCTGCCTTTAGATGGGGTGATGGGGTGTGCGCAGGGGCCTTTCATTTATTATACAGCGTAGCTGACCCGGCATGATGCATCCACGCATCGAACTATAAGGTGCGTGTGCGTGTGCGCGTACGTGCGCGTCTGTGCGAGTGTGAATGTGTATGTGTCTGTGTTAGCTCCAAGAAACGGTATTGCTAGGGTTAGAATACCCTAGCAAGGATAGAATACTTGAATAGCCTAGAAGAATACCTTGTTAGAATTGCCTAGAATAATAGATTATATTTGCTTTTAGATTGATTAGATTGTCTAAGAATAGATTAAATTAGATTTGCCTAGAAGAATAGCCTTGTTAGAATACCCTAGAATACCTAGACTATAGACTAGACTAGACTAGACTAGACTAGACTAGACTATAGACAATTAGTCGCACAGCCTGGTCGGGCTAGTGTCTGTGTATGTGTGTGTGCGTGCGTGCGTGCGTGCGTGTTTGTTTGTGCGTGCGTGTTTGTTTGTGCGTGTGTGTGTGTGCGTGCGTGCGTGCGTGCGTGCGTGTGCGCGTGTGTGTATGCGTGGGCATGTGATGCTGGTTTACGGTGGCTAAACAACAGGCTATTAAATAATTAACCGTATTAATTATTAACCGGTTAATTACGGTTCATACATTACAAAAGCAACATTTTAGCCAAGGTTTTGTGCAGTGTGTTGTGTAGTCGCGGTTCTCATGGCTGTTCTGTTTCCTTTTTATGCATTCAACTATTAGTCAAATGAGGTAGAGTATGTCCATGCATGGCGGCCATTTCATCATATATATTGCAGTCTTGGTCACACTGAAAAGAAAAATGGGAAAAAATCTATATGGCGTACTTATGCGGTGATACATACGCTGATTGTCTCTTAGTAGTCTGCAGTCACACTATAGCAGTTGAAAAATGCTCGCTGTAGACTTTAATGCGGTATTGAAACACTTGAGTTTTTATAATGTCCTATAACTAGATTTGAAAATGTTAAATCCTTATATATTCCAAACATTCCGGTCCATGAAATGTAGTCGTGTTTGGCATGGTTTGTTGTGTGCTCTTGTCAATTCAAACCCATGTCTTCCGCTTTTGGTCTAGTCCACAGGGCAAACCCAATTTTATCACATCTTCAGACTAGGTGAGAATTTTTACACAGCGAGATTCATGTGGTAAATTTACTGCAACCTTCAGGCTACGTAGCCTAGGAACCTATAGACCGTCCGTGACTTGAATATCCCTTGATGATCGCATGAAGTAAAGACGTGATCAGAAAAGAGAACACGCGTACAGAGCGCCATTATGACCCTTACTTGGGAGGAGGCTTTATTATGTTTATTTACGACCACGTACGTGCAGAGATTATTGAAAACGAACGGACCGGTAACGGAATAACCAACCAACTAGCTATTCAACAAACAAACCAACCACCTAGGTACTAGGTAGTCGAGCAAAACAACGAAACAAACAAACAATCAAACAAATAAACACACACACAAATGAACAAACAAGCAAGCAAACAAAAGAATACCACAATTTCATATTTATATCAAAAGCCATAAAGATATATTATAGAGACACTGTAATTCTACGTAAAAAATAATTATCTATATAATAGATATTGTAAATTCTTATCGGTCTTTATTGTAAATTCAGTAAAAGGACAATGGAAGGCTGACACTGTGGTTTTTGAATTCTATATTATTAGTCATGATATATTTTTTTAGTTCTAATCTATAATCTTATAACATTAGTCTTCTAAAATGATAGTGCTCACGCGAATGTGACGCGATGCATGATCATAAATTAGAACCCTGCTCATTTCCGAAGACCCCTTTCGATCCTCAGACACTGTTGTCTACGGACATGGATGAAAGGCGTAAAAACAGCTGCGGTCATGAGGTTGGTTGCGCGAATTTTAAAAACGTGTTAGTATCGACAGTGTTCAACGGCTCGTACATTTAATTTTATGCTCATATAGAATCGTTAGCAATGATTTATGTTGCTAAATTGCAGGGCAAGTGTAACTGGAGAAGGCTCTGAGACTGAGAGTGCAGACTGCGAGGCACACCTGAGAAACGTCGTGCATGACAACGGTACAGCAGCAAAATGATTGAGAGAAGCATCCTTCTTATTTCATTTCTGCTAGTTCCGATCTTAGCAGGTAATGCACAAGTTTTGCGGTGTGATTTTACGTTGTAATTAATAGTGTAGTGCTAGACAGATAGTATAGCTTAAAGTATATAAAAGTATGCATATTATCTGAAAAATACATTTTTAAGGCAAGCATCTGTCTCAAACTAGCTAGTATGACAGGTAGGCGGGTAACCCGATAAGCTTATCACCGTGATCAAGCCCTTGATCATGATCCTATCAAGAGCAGATAACATATATGTACCCGAGCTAGTTTTAGGTTGTTTAGTATTGTCATACTATTATGTTTATATTTTTATATGAGGTATGTTTAGGGTTAGCGTACACTTCTGTAGTTCAAGTCTGGTAGAGGCTATCGAGCAGGCTGCAAGATTAACATCACTACATGCGCACTTGAGATGTATGACTATTACTTTGAGCTAGGATTAGGTTAGGTTTCTGGTTATGGTCAGGCTTAATGATGGTAACCTGGGTAATAATTCTGGATCGCAGCGATTCACAGGGACAAAAGAGAGCCGTGGAAACTATCCTTACAGATATTCTTCACAAATGTAGTCAATTGCAATGGGACTGGATCATGCTTTTGGCCTCCAGATGAGGCCCGGCCCTGCTATATGTGTGCAACATGTCATTATGCTAATAAATATTGCTAAGGCACAACTAACAAGCTTTGGAAGTGCCAGTAAGGTGGATGGTGGTACGTGGGGCATCTAGCTGTGTCAAATTCTTTATTCGGGGCACATCCTGAACCACACTTTAACCACCCGTTATTGTACATGTGTTGCTGTATTTATGGGGGTTGTACGTTAGGTTGAGCCCACTAGCTGTTTATAGATGGCTAGTTTGGCTTCAATTGGCTTTATTCCAGGTATAAATTTCGAATGATGTTTATCTGTTAATTACAGCTGTTACACCTATTGTTAACAAACATGTATTTTTCTTTTAGTGTTAAATCCCTGTGGTGTCCCTAATACTGGCGATCCACTTACATTTCAAGTTTATGAAAATGAAACCAAAGGTACGATACTAGGTTATAATATGACACAATCTATCAATTGCCCGAGGAAGAGGCATTGTCGAGGCAATGCTCGATCAAAGGGATCTATGGAATCTATGACACTATGTATCTATATTTTGATTTCAATGTTATGAATACATTTGGTGTTTGTACAATTTGTGTGTTTTTCTCTAATGTATGTATATTATATATATATATATATATATAATAATAATATATATATATATATGTGTGTGTGTGTGTGTAACATATGTTTTACAAATGTTGCATGAACATTAATTCAACATTACATATATATTATATTATATATATATATATATATATTATATATATATGAAGGAACATTAGATTTAAAAAGTGAAAATTGTTTACATAAAATTGCAGAGCTACAGTTTCATGTTTAATTGGAAACAGCTGCGTTCAACGAACTGTATTGACGGAGATAGCCATTTAGTATACTAATTTAATATAAAATGTTGCAGTATATACTTCAATACACATACTGTCTCCCAGAAATAGAACAACTAATGCATGACAATTGTGTGCTTTGTGTGTTACAGATTATATGGTAGGAGTCCTGCGACTTAATGGTGATGACAGTGAGATATCATTAACCCAGGCTGGTACTCTTGACCCTCACATCGGATTTGACATTAGCTCACGACAGGTGTATCTGTTGAATGACTTGCAACCATGGGTAAGGATCATAGGCACGAAATAACACATCTACACACATCATAAACATTTAGAGTGTGCCAAGTTGTCAACCAATAAATGCAAGCAGGCACGCATTCATTTGCATACATGCATGCAAACGTGCACACGCACTTGGACACAAGCCTGCGGCCTTTGTCTTTTACCATGAGCACATAATCTAATGTTATATGCTTTAGATTGAGTATGGTTAATTTATTTAATTATATCTGCATGAAAATTTATCAGTTGCATTCATTGAAGTAAATTAATTATCAATGGATTTATTGAGTCATTATCAAGTATTAATTATGATGCTAGCTAATGTTATGTGTTTTCTTTCTAGATCGATAGCTTGGAAGATCCAAGCCAAAACATGCCGATTACACTGCATATCAAATGTAAAGTTCTGCAGAATGGCCCTGTAAGTACTGCATGAAAGTAAATTAATATGTTTAGATTCACCAAATAAATTTTGCGTGATTTGTGCTATCATACTAAGGTGAGAATATGCAGTTAAAATGCTGCAATCTATTATAATCTTTGTAATTTTCATTAAATGATTACAGAGACAATTTCAATAATGTCAGTTGCTATGTATCAATTGGCAAAACCAATTTTTATTTTTAAATAAAAATAATATTTATCCTTAGAAATTCAGTATAAAATACTTACGTTATTGCATATTACTACATTAATCTAGCTTTCATGCTATTAAAGTCATTTTCTTTTATCATTGTTATTAGGTTACTGATCTACGACTCAATGTGTTTGTCACTGATATAAACAACAAACAACCATACTTTGTCAACAAGATATTTGCAACAAGTGTGAGTGAGGTAAGTAAACATTGCAAATATTAGTTTATAATTATCCCGATGCCTGCCTCTGAATTTGCTACTGCTGTATTTATTCTTTATCTGTGTGATTATATCTGTGTTTCCTAGCTCTAGTTAATAATTATACCCTTTGCTCCAGTTATAGTGACTAGGGCTGTATGTTTTCATGAACAAGCCTATTGTCTATGCAAGGCAAATTGTAAAAGGAATACGTACTAGCGTGCATATGTCTACAGTCTTCATGAATTTTCGTTGAGTATGCTGAAGTAAATTGGATAACTGCGCACCTTTTTGTTGATTACTGGGACGTAGAAAATGCGCTCACTGCATGTGGCTGACACGTGCCATTTCACGTAACCATGGCAACCGTTTAAATTCCAGTTGGGTCGTGTATTGTGAATGCGAGCCTCATTAGTCATCTAGGGTTGCTTGCAGCGTGCACGTGTGGCACTGGCACCTGGCCAGCTGCAATAACAATAGCTGAAGATCGGTGAGAAGGAAACGTTGTGTCGGTCTAGACCATGTCAGCCACCCTCCCGCTTGATTAGGCGTGACAATCGCTAGTAAAAATAGCAGCTTAACGTCAGTCGGAATAGGTATTGCCCAGATAAAAAAAAAGATGTGCTGAATTACTTCTCAGTTTGTATTGGATAATTAACACAATCGAGATGTCATAGAGAGAATATGGTGGATTGTTATAACAATACGTACGTAGTGTTTGTTATAAGCAGTTCCGTGTAGAAAATACAATTGGCGCAATACATTGGTTCTTAGTTCACCGTGTAATTCCAGTGTGCTAGCTCAGCAATTCAAGAGCCGTCATGGTAGTTATCAGTGCAGAATCTTATCTGGTTATGGTAATGATGCCATGGCTTAGAGTAATGATCTGGTTAGAGTAATGATGTCAAACCGTAACCGTATAGTAAGTAATATTTCCTTAATCGTTTATGATCTTTTGCATTCTTGTCTTGGTCTGAAGGTTAATGTGGTGTGAATGAACTAGGTCTGCAATGTGTCATCAAGCATGTGCTAGTATGGAGTGTATATGTATATATACATAGCTATATATATATATATATCAAGAGTCCATAATAGAAAATAGAGAATTTTCTATTATGGACTATTGATATATATCAATGTATAGCGAGCCGTCTGTATGGCTGTGCTGTGTAGTAAGTACACAGGGGTTCTGCCCCCTGCTCTGTGTCAGTCATTTACCTTGTCGGACACACGAAGTTGCATTTAAGTGGATATTGACCCTAATTTCTTCACGATGGTCATAAGCCACTATTTTAAAGCACAAAGAATGTAAAAGTGACAGGGCAAAAAACTCTGTTATGGTAATTTGTATAGCCCTTGGCTATTGTGGTTTGACATTTTGCTCTGTCGGAGCATTTTTAGAATTCTGTGTTTGTAGTAGCGCCAGTTAGCTAGATTCACTTTTCCAAATTGTCACTCATGCCAGCTCCGTTAGTATACAGACTAATTCGGGGTGTGCGTTGTATGAGATTGACATCATTTGCGTCATTATACTGAGGTTTCGTTCTGAAAAAACCCAAAACATGATCACTGATTACATCTTAGATGCGTACATTTTCATACGAGTTCATACTCACATAGTAAACAAAAATCATTTTTCCGTCTTATATACATACACACAGTGAGAAAATCGTTACACCTTTGCTATTTTATTTTCTACTTTTATTGGTATAGGGGTGTTTTTGCAGTCATTTGGCACATGTCTGCTTCGGAACTGGTTTACTGCTGTTTTGGAAATAATCGCACCAAAATTATACTGTCAATATTGATTTAGTTTAAAATTCACTGAAATTATCCTCACGCCGTCTGCACGCTATAGTGTACGGGAGTATGATCATACTGCTAGAAGTCCTCGCAACCCTGTGGCCACTGTGACTGTGTGATTTCGCATCTTGTGCGTGAATCGTGTCAGTAGTCACAGAAAGGCAATATTGTCGTGCGCTAATATTGTTTGCTCAGTCGGCACAATTGCTTCACTCGTCCTTCGTAAGCCGGCCCTGTATCAACATGGCAATGGCAGTGAGGGAAGATCATCTAAAAAACTTTTTTTTTACATTGTTACGAGCATTCCAGCTCCTCTGACTCTGGACCTTATTTGTCCCGTAATAGAGTTACGAGTGTATAACCTGTCTGTCAGCGTGTGGGTGGAGTAGCAAAACTTGATATCACCTTTTGGTAATTATGTAGTCCTCACAAGGGGTGTATTATATCTGCACAAACTCTCTTGAGAGTTCATATTGCACTGTTATGAACTAAAAATGTATTTGAACAATACAATACAATTGAACAACTGAAGATTGAATAATACAGCAGTTTTTCTTATAACCGAGGAAATAGAATTTAAAAAAAACTTTTCATGTAAAAGAATTTATGTTGGGTTGTCGACCACCGACACCCTCGTGGCTTTTATCTGTTCACACAGGTCTCACCAGGTGGTAATCTCCACGAGGTTTATCCGAGCAGCTCCGATATTAGCATATTATGAATTTATGTACGATGCATACTAACTATAAGTCACTTCTGTACACGTTTATCATGTTTCGTCGAAGCATTTGCATCAGAGTACGTCGCTTTTGCTAGACACCGATTATATAATTATTTAAGATTAGTAGAAATTTATACAGGTTTATTCGCATTGCAGATGGCATTGTCAAACATAGAGGGGCACGCACCTGCAGTTGCATAACTCAATGTGCGGCTAGTTATATATACCATAGACCGAGGTAGTAAATTTATACTGGTAAGATCTGCTGCAGCTACACTCGCGTTATACTTAGTCGAGGTTAATTCCGAATTCATAGCTGCGAGAGATAGGGCGTACGTAGATCAAAACTTCAAATACGTTCAGAAAGGTTTTCAAACGAGGAAGTCGTTTTTGCTACGTAGAAAATATATTCCAACACCTTCGCGTACGTGCGCGAACGTTAGGTGTTGAGCGTTATATGTAGAACTTTTACAATTTTTTTGGTTTTTATGTTTGGTTTTCGGTGATAAGTGTGCGGGCACTTTGTAGCATATTTGTTTTTTTGTGCAGTTTAGCGTTTTGTTGCATTTTGCGTTTGCAGCATGCACGTGTGATTTCGGTGTAGATTTCGTATCACCCGTGTGCCTACGCGTGGGTGTATAGTTATCATCAATCATTTACTTTAGTTTTCCGTTATTTAGTTTTTGTTCGTGTCTTGTATGTCAGACTTTGAATGTTCAGATTCAATTTCAGACCAGGATGTGAATGATTTGGTCATAATGCGTATAGTTTTGCGTTGCTGGGTAATATTGCTTTAGGATGATAACCTGATGTAAGTAGCCAGGAGGAATTTTAAGGTTTTTAAAAACTCAATGGTACGGTTCACCTATATAAGTTTGACATGAAGGTTCGTTTTTGGCGGGGTTAGGTTGAAACTATGCTCCAAAATTGCTCATGAAAAGGGAAACCTAAAAAAAGCATAACTCCGGCTTGATGTGGTACGTCAGACATGGGGTTTTGCACCGTTAGCTATTTTGTGCTTAACCATCCTTACCCGGGTTTCTCTGTGAGATTTACAGCTTGGTAAATGAGCATGCAATAGTTTTTGCGGAATGCCGCAAAGGCATTCGTTACAATCGAAATCCTTTTAGCGTACTTGGTTTTATATGATCAGGAGATGAATAATGACAGATTAATTCTGCCGTCTTCTTATTTCCGTCGTTCTTCACCCCCTGATATGATGCGTACTCGCCAGGATGTAAGCGCATTTTAATTTACGAGGTCTACCAGGAAATGTACCCACTGTCACACCTTGGAGATTCCCCGAGGCAGCGATGTTTTATTGCACGGTTGGACTGGTGGTTGTAAGTTTTACAACCATTTTAGAAAAATTTTCTTGATTGCTTGTGGTTCTGTTTCAGCTGGCAAATCTGAACACGACCATATTTCAAGCTCAAGCAAAAGACAATGATTACACGTTTCCAAACAACTTCATGCTATACTTCATCGAGAATTCGACTTACTCGGTAAATATATATATATATATGTATATATATATATATATATATATATATATATATATATATATATATATATATATATGTATATATATATATATATATAAGTAATATATTAAGCAGCTCAGCAATATATAAGTATATATTGCTTTTAAATTGTTTGTGCTACATTAATATTGACATTGTACATGTCACAACGAAATGTAACGTATCATGACAATAACAACATGTCTATTATAACCATTGTTTGCTCATGGCAATCAAATAGAGTCATAATATATATATATATATAGCCTTAGTTCTCTTTGCCCATGATTTAATTGGTATGAAATAGTGACCATGGGGAGCTATTCCTTTGTGTTTATATGAACCAAAAAGCCGTGCCAGGGAAGTATCAGCAGTAAATGCATGTTTCGTTTATTTAAAAAACCTCGGGGCTATTTGTCCTTCATGGGGGTGTGTAATTAAAGTGGTCGGCGGACGCATGTGAGTTCATTCACACGCACACAGAGACCCATGCGCAAGCACACGCACACTCATGCACTCACACACGCACACACATGCATTGCTCACACACGCACGCACACACATGCACTCACGCACGTACGCACACAGCATGCCAGCGTTTCATGTAATGTTGTGGCTTACACAGGAGATCTAACTAGGGCCTATCAATACGAGATTTGTGTTTATTTTACCGCCAGGACAATGTTTTTCTAAGGCCTTTCACTAGCAGGATACGCAGATCAGCGCAAAACTATCTCTACCTACAGTGTTTGCGAGAAGGTTATGAATAATTATATTAAGTATATTTGCCCTTCCCGTTATCTAAGCCGGCAGGAGACCTCTGCGACTTAGATCTGTTAATTATACAGCTAATGATAAACACTATGTACAATATAATGAAAGTGTGCAGATAGGCTCTTGAATTATGCTCAGTGTAGAATCAGTGCACGTATTTAGGCTTAGTAACACACAGAGACAATATCTGGCAGCAGATCGCCATTGTGAAGTCTATATTATTTTTCAACACGCATTAAAAGATGGGTTAAGTACACCCTAGCTGTCTTTGATTGTATATCGCTGTCAGTAACGCATCCAGTAATTTTCTAAACTATACAAACCGAATACAATATATATGTCTTGCTTTCAGGATTACGTTGGAATGCCGAACAACTACAACGGAGTCATGCTGCTTCAAAAGTCACTGGACTATCGTGTCGTTAAGTCATTTAACATCACGATGAAAGTTGAGGTTAGTGGGCAATACCCGAGTCAGATGCCGAACCTGTCACTGCTTAAGATCACGCGGCACAATCATCTTGTCTGTCATTCACGTGACGATTCTAGCCGAATAAATCAAATAAATTCTCTTTACTGCGTGAGGCGGGTTACGATTCGTGTGTGATGTGCGGTTGCGAGCGGACTGCAATGCATTGATTACTCTGCGATTACTTACTGGTTTCTGCTATGGTGGACGCTTCATTCTCGTATTGTTGAGGTGCCTGGGCCAACATTTATGCAAACATCGCACACAATTTATCTGCTGGCATCTCCCTTTATGGATGAAATTCTTATACAGGGCAATTAAATATGATTGCTTTCATGACACTCCCCAATTAGGTATTGCTGTGAATATTTGTGCTTCTCACGGTTTACGACTCGCGTGTTATTCTGTGATTAAGACAGTATATGTGTTCATTACAATTATTACAATCTTACATTCTGTGTCACGTACTACTACTAGTGTACTTTCTAATATGAGGTCTAGTATGATATATGGGGGTTGTTCAACTTCGAGAGATAATTTCACTGTGTTATATTGTGGTCAATTCTAAACATTCAAAAGCATAGATAGAATTCGTCCTTTTGACTTTAACGTACGATAGCCTAATTATGGGCATTCGACGTGCCAAATGCAAACATTCTCTGAATCACATAAACACAAGTCTCAAATTATTAACACGAGTTTAATTCGTCAGTTAATGTTAATTAATTAACTTATATAAGTTATACATCTAATGTCAATATGTCAATGTCAATATGCATCTCATGTTCATCTGTGTCTTTCCCCAGGATCTGGGAGAGATCCCAGGATCACTGAGTTCAACGCAGACGTTAATCGTAAATGTCATTGACGAGGATAACCTTAACCCGATTTTTTTCAATGGCCCCTACCGTGCGGACGTGCTCTACAGTGCACCTGTGGTAAGTAGTATGTGGTGATAGAGAGCGTGCGTGTGTGCGCATGAACGCGTGCAGACGGACGATGCGTGAACACGTGCAACACTTCACGGAACATCATGCCCAACTATAGAAACGTGTTTTGTGCACTAAGCGCCCTTTATCTTTTCAGTCATGATAAAACAATGTGCTTGCTTACTTCCTATACGAATATGTCCTGCTGTGTAAAAGTCAAATAAATCCTTTGTGTAGGCGATGCTGTTGTGTAACTAGAGCAGGGCAAACCTACACGGGTATTTAATGAGATAATAATTGTATGTGAGAGGGGCTGAGTATGAGGTGAGATTCATGCAGTATATTAGGAAATTTAGTTTTTTACATTTTTTTTTACATTTTTTTTTACATTTGATTCTTATTTTGTCAGTTGAATTTATTCTATGTAAGGTTGGTAAATTATTAATTATAATAATATATAGTATTTTATAATTATATGTATTAATAACTGATTAATTCTAGAGATATGTGATGGTTGTGAATTTAGGTGAATGCAATAATATATTTAGCATTTTCATCATAAAAGTGTCAAAAATCATTGTTGCACCATCTGCTTGTTTTAAATATAAAATAATGTTATGCCACTCCTAAATTAATTCTACAACAATGGCAAAATTCTGTGTTTATGCACAGAATCAGTCAATCTGGATAACTCGATCACACGTATGACATTACGCGTTCCTGAGCATTCTGTAATTTACTAATCAAACTAACATACTTCTGTAATCAACTAATTAGTTGTTGTCTCTTCGTATGTACAGGGCACGCCTCTGATCATACAGCCAGCGAAAATATATGCCGAGGACCAGGATACGGGTATCATGAGTCCACTGCTATACAGCATCGAACATGGTAAGCACACGTGCGCACGAGCAAAAACATATGTACAGGGGCCAAATACTTCTAACCATCTTAAACCGTATTCTTTGCCACTTTGCAACGATCGTATAGTTCAACTTGTATGTTACGCACAAGGACGCATGACCCTATAATTTGTTTCGTCGAACGCAGTACAAAATGAGGTATCGCATGTTATTACCCACATTAGCGTTATATTATCCGGGATAGGACAAGGACAGCGTGGCATTACCGTGCTACAACCACATGATTTCGATTTAATGTGCGGCATTTTGCTGCGTTTGATTATATATTTCAACAGTTTATCTCACACTATTATTAGATGCGTTACGTAGCTTGACAAATGGTAGGGATATAAAAATCGACGACCTCATCGAACGGTATACTCACTCCGTTCTATAATTTGTAATCTAATATTTTTTACCGCACAGTATATATCAACCACGGACATGCAAATTTAATCTTGTCAGTCATTTATCAATTAAGATTTTTGATTATCAATTAAGTCTGCAGTGGTTTTCTATTGTTGAACTTGCATTCCTCACACCTAAGCACGTAAACGTGCTTACATGCTACTATCGCACCGAAACGCGCAACCGCGCTCATGGCACCGTCCCCGCTGAAACACATGAACGTGCTCTCGCTGTCGTCCACGCTGAAACACATGAACGTGCTTGCAGGCGCCGACGGTTACTTCGCGATCGACGAGCGGACGGGCGTCGTCTCGACCGCTCAGACGCTCGCCAGGGGGCAGCACTTTTCGATGCTCGTCAAGGCGACGGAGGCGTACAACAGCGACCGCTACGCTATGACGTCGCTGCGCGTCAGCGTCGCCGGTAGCAACGACCATGCGCCGGCGTTCGACCGCGCGCTCTACGCCGTCAGCGCGATGGAGAACGTTCCGATCGGCAGCACCGTGCTTCGCGTCGTCGCCGCCGACGACGACGGGGTAAGCGTTCGTCCGCTCACGTCGGCACGCCGCGCCACCGACTCTTCCCTCTGCCACGAGTGCGACCGGCGTGGCATTGGTAGACTTCCCCTCGTGGTGAACTTCCCCCCTTGGTAAACATCCCCCCTGTAGTAAACTCCCCCCTTGGTAAACATCCCCCTGTGGTAGACTTCCCCCCTGTGGTAAACATCCCCCTGTGGTAGACTTCCCCCTTGGTAAACATTCCCCTGTGGTAAACTTCCCCCTCATGGTAAACTTCCCCCTCATGGTAAACTTCCCCCTCATGGTAAACTTCCCCCTCATGGTAAACTTCCCCTGTGGTAAACTTCCCCCTGTGGTAGACTTCCCCCTTGGTAAACATTCCCCTGTGGTAAACTTCCCCCTGTGGTAGACTTCCCCCTTGGTAAACATCCCCCTGTGGTAGACTTCCCCCTTGGTAAACTTCCCCCTCATGGTAAACTTCCCCCCTCATTGTAAACTTCCCCCCTATATGTTGTGCGCAGGCATGAGCGTGTCTGGCATGTGTTGTACATGCGCATGAGGATTTGAGCTTTATTTTTCATGTGCAATGTATAAGGGCTGGGGGTGGGGGAGTTTGCCACAGAGGTATGTCTACCATGCTACGCCGGCTGTATTTTGTTCGGTTGGTGGAGCAGCCGGTGTGTGGTGCGCACGCGTAGGTGAATACGTGTATTCTTGGCAAACCATTGAAATTGATTGTGGCCGCGATCACCGGCTTTTATGTGAGAAATGCTATCGTTTGTTCGTGTCTGCCAATCCTCGATTTCATCCCGATATCCTTCTTTGTGTCGCCTAAGAGGTGAGGGTACTGTATTGCTAGCTGTAAGTAGGCTGCACGCGTGCACAAACGTTTTCATGTATTGCTGTCTGGTTCTAACAATATACACCATTGATACACGTCGTATAGCACACGTTCGAAAGCACAACCATGTTCACACGCACTGCATTCTAGGTTCCAGCACACACTCGTGTCGTGTAGAATGCATGGCGGGATGGGTTAAATGTTACGTACCGTAAATAACAGATAGTCTCAGCGTTTATTCCAGGTTTGCGTGTCCTCACAGTCGGTCGTATTTGCCTGCTGATTGTTCAGAACAAGTGGCGGGTGTGTGTCTTCTTGCATACAAACACTAACCAACTTGTGTTTTTACACGATTATGTAGAGCACGTCACGTCTGTTGCAGCTCGGGTTAAATAGGTTCCAAGATAAATCCAGCCTCGCACTGCAAAGGATTAGTATGTTTAATTAAGGGCAATGTAAAGACACGTTCTTCTTTATTATCATTGTCCGTGATTAAGTGAATCTGCACATAGAGGCTTGCGATTCGTGGCCTCACCTTATGGAGATCTGGCTTCCTCAATCGGCAGTACTAGGTTTCTCCATGTTGTTAATGTTTATCGTAATAACCTCGCGTTCGCAGCAATAAATGGCAACGGTGTTTGTTTTTTTACGTGTGCGGCAAATATCAAACCAGTTGTGAATTAAAAATAATTTCAGGATGATTTATTGTACACGCTTCTGAACTCCGAGCAAGTCACCGATTTTGAAATGACCGACACGTAAGTCGTGCATTCTTGTTTAAGTTTATGATTAGCTCCGGTAGCGTGGTAGTAGAAATTGGCCAGCAGTTTCAACGTTGTGAGTAACATTATTGCAAACTGCAATTTCTCTCTGCATACACAATGGCCCCTATTATGTCCCTTTGCGTCTTTGGTGACATGAATTACAGGAGTGGTTTGAATTTCAAAGGAAATGTTTACAAAGGAACTTGCAGGGGTGTGTGCGTAAACGTTGATAACATTTTGCGATGATGTTTGAATATTATAACAGTTGATGCTGTTTTCATTGCAGGGGTTACTTAATTAGCACAGCCTATTTGGATTTTACCGTACAGAACAGCTACAATCTCACAGCACAGGTGTCTGATGGACTTTATGTAAGTTATTGTTAAATTCAAATGAATAATTTATTCTATTATGTCGTTTTTTCACAGCTTTAGCTACCATTTCTATTCAATTGCCATTTGATTTTGTTATGTATTACCATGAACATACCTACTATATATACATCTATAGTGTAAACGTGTTCATAGTATAACCCCATTCTTATACATAACCTGATAACCTGATGCGCATGCTATCTAATGTGGGGTATTATTCTAGAATTCTTTATGCATTATTTCAGGTCAGCAATGCATCTGTAGTCGTTACGTTGCTCAGCGCAAACAGGAAAAATCCAGTGTTCTCCGAACGCATGTACACATTTAGTGCAACAAGGAATGACAACTCCTTCATAGGAAGCGTGTCGGCCAGTGATCCTTCTGGGACAGAGATAGAGTACACTCTATTAGACAATCAGCTGTAGGTCCACATTCTACATGTATTGATGGGAGGGGGTATTAGAGGATTACGAAAATTGAGATTGAGATAGCAGGATTATAGTTAGTTACTATAATATAATAAATAATATAGATAAT